ACCAGGTCAAGCCTTTGGTGCAGTTGGTAATCTCTGCAAGGCATATGTGTAATTATGGATGCAGTTGGCCATGATTGATAGCCCCGCCCAGCGAGAATGCCACGTTGGATAGCACCCCCAACTTCACCACCATTGGGCCGCCAAAGCGTCTGGAGGATACCATCTCGAGTATTGACGGACCGTTTTGTCACATTTACGACTAAGAGGGAGATAATTAGAACAGAGTGGTCACTGCTAATGATAAAGGGAAAAACATGTTCTGTTTCCTAGAGACTCGCGTAATATCTGAATACATCTATCTAGTGAAGCCCGAGTTCACTTGATTAGAGATATGGGAAACATTGAGTTGATACATGACCCCCCTCATAACACCACTGACCCTTGAACAGGCTTGGTGAATCGGTAAGAAGTAATGCTGATGTCTCCCCCGTCGGGGAATTCAACATGCCAACCTTGGGTGAGTCCCCTGTCACGTTGAATCCAGGCGCTATGCCAGTCCAGAAAGGTGAAGCTCATCCTGTTCCCACAAGCCTCGGAGCCACCCTGCCAGCATCTCAGATTTGACAAGACAATTATACTCCTACTGGATTGCATAAGTCCCATCTTTCGATCTTAGACGGCCAAGGTAGAGACGTAATGTTCTCAAGCCGGTGAAATGAAGACGAGCTTTAGGGACAAAATCCAATAGTGCTTTGGGCACCAAGGGTGCCGGGTCTCGAAGGCTTGTATATGTTGCAGCAATCATGCCCTCGGTTCGCAGCCTGAGGTCCTCACCGCCGTCGATCTATCGTGTATTGTGGGGGTGTATAGAGACGTAAAGGTTGCGTACCAGGCTTGCGCTGACTTTGCCGATATGATGGGCGAAATGAGCCAAAGGGTACACTATTCGGTCTTGAGGCGTCCGCCGCTGCCAGCAGGTTCCTGTAGATTTGCAGTCGGATCTCGGGCGGAAGTTCGTTGAAGGAGGTCATCCTGTCGCCGTTTTGAGCCGCTCGCTTGGTTTTGCGGATGTTTATGAGTCTGTGTTGAAACGGGAAAGGGTGCAGACCGGGTGCTAAGATCTGCCCAGGGTCAAAAAACAATTCTGTCGCTAACGTTAATGGTTCAGAACAGCCGAATGCGGAAAGTTTGTTCCGAGGATATCGGGTTTTTCGGAAACCTTATTCGCTTGCCGCGTTCAACCACATGACACTTGGTTGTGTTCGTGGCTGAGCTGGCTCATAGTGAACTTAAAATCCAATCAGCAGGAATGCGGCGAATGGAATATGTTCTTGTCAAGAAAAAGGACACGAATCCAGCATGCTCACCGAGGCCATATATTTTGGAATACACAAACCGTTAAACTCCCCGGGTTGATACCCATATCATTCAAAACCATGTTTGAAAGGAATTTATTCGTCGTGCATTGTGGTCTCGGCCCTTGCATACTATGAGATTTCAGCACTGTATATGGGACGGAAACGATAGAACGCCTGGTGACAGGAAAAGATGAAAAGGAGAAAGGGAAATCCACGCCGTCTAGAGTGGGTCCCAGCACAGAGGCGGAGGAAGCAGACCGGCGAGCAGAGGAGGCGGAGCGGGGCTTTGTACACTACGTTTAAGGGGACATAGGCCAGAATAGGATAGGCGTAGTGACGTAGGTGAAGGTACAATCAGAGAATTCATAATATAGTTTGTGTTTTTTTTTTTTTTTTTTTGTAAAAGTAAGGTCTACGAACCATCCTCAATATCAATCCCCATTCACACGTAGTACCATAGTCCGGAGAACCTCAGGAGGTACGATCAGAGAATGTATTGGTATTACAAGTAACCAGTAATAATTCCATCAGTATAGGAGCCCGTGTTTATTATTTTTTCTACAAACCAGGATAGTGGTTTCTTGGTTGTGCTTGAGCTCTCTGGGTATGCTCTGGGGTCAACCTGAAAACCCGGATCCGCCGAGACCAACAGGCATCAACATCTTGCATGAGGCGCCAGTGGGGCCGCACATGGCTGCCTCCAACTTCCATGTCGTCGCCAACGTATGCACGATCGAGACCTCAATCAACCTGTCGCTGGTAATAACCATACCACTCGATATTGAAATGGAACACCTACCACCCAGCAGGCTCTGCATCTTTTGCCGCCGCCTCGAAGATGGTTCATCCGAGTGCCCGACCCTCCAAGGTTTGGATCCCAGCAACCACCTAACCCTCCTCCAGCCAGACCCAGTTACCCCGCCTCCCCCAAGCGACGACGTCCTCCTCGAGGAACTCCAAACCTCCCACCCCGGCATCCTCTGCCCACGATGCAAAGACTACGACATCGTGCGCGTCTTCCGCGACGCCTCCCCGCTAGATCTGAACCAACAAGCCCAAGAATTCGGCACCTCCAATGCCCGGCGCGAAGCCTACCAGCGCTACATCTCAAAATATTCAATCCCTCCCTCGCGCCAACCTCTCTCCTCTTTGGTGCTAGACGCGTCCTGCCCGCTATGCCGACTCATCTACCGCATCCTACCGCGAAAGAATCTCGATCCGCGGGATAACATGCTCCAGCTTGTTCCGTTCAGATCGCATCTGCGCATGGCAATGTGGGAGCGGATGCCGAGCGAAATCAGGAACCAGAATGCGATTCTGTTGGGCGTGGCTTATCCCGATTTCATGACGCCCTGGATGTTGCCTTCTTCTGCAAAGGACGCCGAGGAGCAAGAATATGGTGGCTCCGAGAGCATGCTCGGCGAGGCGATCTGTTTATCACCCCGGGACGTCTTCCCCGGACGGGATCAAGGCAATTTTCGATTTGTTAGGCCGATGGTGAATTTTGATTTGCCTAGGGGTGCGTTGGATTCTTGCTTGAGAGCTTGTCCTACGGGTGTGTGTCAGGTTCCGCTGGATCAACAACCTCTTGAGTTGAGGGCGACGACTATGATCGATGTCGAGAAGCGCGTGACGGTTCCTTTTCCTTTTGGAGAAGGAGAGGATGGGGATAAGGGATGTGAATACTTCGCCCTGAGTTATGTCTGGGGCGGCGTGATGCCCCATCCTGACGGACTTGCAAACAGAACCCTCCCGCAAACCATTGAAGACGCCATTACCGTGACGAGAGAGCTCGGGCGGAGGTATTTGTGGGTCGACGCGCTGTGTATAGACCAGTCGTTGAGTCATACCCCTGCGCAGCTGGCGCGCAAGATGCAGCAGCTGAGCATCATGGATATGATATATGGCTGTGCGGCCTTGACGCTGGTGGCCATGTCAGGGTCAGACTCGAATGCAGGACTGGCGGGTGTTTCAGAACGTAATCCGCGATCGAGACAGTGGAAAGAGACTATTGACGGGTTAGAGTTCTTTACGGTGCCGCCGGTCACGAACGCAGAGAAAGAGGCGTCTGGGTGGGAAGCGAGAGCTTGGACGTTGCAGGAGGGTTTGTTGTCGCGGAGGAAGCTGTACTTTACGCAGTCGCAAATATACTTTCAGTGTCAGTGTCTGGCAACCACCGAGTGCGAAGATGGAAGTGGGATTAGTGAAGATGATATGAATGAAGCGGTGAAGAGGGCGCTCCATCTGGGAGGGGCGAATGATATGCTCAGCAAGCTGAGAGGTGGGACGGGTGTGGCGGTAGGCTCCCTTGTACTTTCCTTTCTCACTCAAACTTGTCATTAGAGGCACAGACACTGACATGTTCCTGTTTTTTTCTTCGCAGAACGTTGCCCCTGCCTCCCAGCCAGAACCAGGAGCGCGAGTGGACTGGTACCTCCACGGCTACCTAGGCCTCATCCAAACCTACACCTCCCGAAAAATGACGGACCCCCGCGACGCACTGAATGCTCTACGGGGAATCCTATCCGCCTGGGAGAGGAATATGTTGCCTCCAGGGCATAGATTCCTCTGGGGCCTGCCATTGACCATCGCCCCGCAGTTCCTAGGCTGGATGCATGATAGATCTGTCGGGTCCAGACCATCACGTCGTCGATGTCAGAATTGTTTATTCGTCGGTGCTTTACCTCGCGAACAGAAGCAAATCAAAACAAGACATTGTGTCTGTGATGACTTTCCCAGCTGGTCTTGGGTGGGTTGGGAACAAGGGGCCGTGGATATTGATCCGAGCTTGCCGGAGGGTGTTTACTCTTCCGAGAAGATAAAGCGGGTTGGTGATTTGGGGGTTGAAATTCTGGGAGTAGACGATGGGCCAGAGGGGAAAAGGCTGAGAGTAAGAGGGTGGGTCGTCAATTTGAGGGTACGGACCGAGCCGTTTTCGGAAGTTATTGTTGAGGCTCGGGACAGTGATCAAGTGGAAGAGAATGTGATTGGGAGTGTCAAGGAGAGGAACTTGTTGCATAATACCACCATTCCGACTGGGGTTTACGAGTGTCTTGTGGTGGAGCGAGTAAGAGTGGCTAATGTAAGGCAGGGAATGTCGGGAAGAGAAACGGTCAAAGTACTTATGCTTGTTTTGGACCGGCCCCCGGATACTGACGGCTGGAACCATGGCGGCGGTGCTCAGCTGGATGATGAAATGGTGGTTAGGGAAAGGAAAACCATGATTACCCTCACGCTTTTTAGAGGTGGCGAGTTCGAGAGTACTGGGCCGGTCAGAAAGATGGTTACGCTTGTTTGACATGGCAACGCATGGTGCAAGTCCATGGCGACATGAGTGTAAACTTTAAACTGGACAGGCATCAATGGATCCATCTTTGCATACTTAGTTGCCTTTGGTTATCCTTTTTGTTCATGATATATCTTTGGTCGCCCAAAATCGACGTGGGCTAGAAAGGAGAGCAGCTTCTCAGTTAGTCTCCATTTCATGTTTAACGTCTTTGTTATAAAACCTTTTGTAGTTTTCTCTGCCTAGTGCCCTTTTTATTTTCACTAGGTCTTTCCCCTTTGCATTCCATGATTCACGCTCATTTTAGCAACCGCTTATCAATGTGTATGAGCCTCGTAGAGGGTTTACGACTTTAAATGACATTGCTGTTTTAGGTTCGATGTTCAAAGCCTCTAACATCAAATAATTAGTTCTCCGGCCCGCTGGCCTAATGGTAAGGCGTCAGATTTCGGTTCTTGAACTCCTCTGAAGATTGCGTGTTCAAGTCGCGCGTGGGTCGTTTCCTTTTTCACTTTTTCCATATTTCTTTTGTAATTAGATGTTTCAAGCCCATCCATTCATCATCCTTTTTAAGATCAGTCTTTGGGTTTATTAATCCATACATACGTAGCATCCCGAGCCTTACCACCCATATACAAGCATTTTCTTGGTTTCTCAATTGTCTTACCAAGCTCAAACTTCTTGTCTACCGGTTCAACTGATTGCGTCTCTAGCCATATTTACGTTTACTTGGACACCGTCCGTTCCTCAAACGTAACCCACACTGGCGCCTTCCACCACATGACATAACATCTCGAAGCAGCCTCCCAATCAAGATCGGCATTTACCAGCGTCAGGTCATACCTGAACAAAATCTTGGTCAGACAAGAAGCTAGCTCGAGGTATGCGAAGCTACAGTATGTCATGCAGTCAGCTTTTGTAATAGGACAAAGCGCAAATTAGGAAGAAAAGGGAAGGGAAACTTACTTGCGGCCTATACAAGCTCGATATCCGAGCGAAAAAGGCTGGCTAGCCTCCTTGACATCCTTGCACTCGGGATCGAGCCAGCGCTCGGGGATGAAGGTCATGGGTTCGTGAAAGTTGCGGGGGTCGTGGGTGACGGCCCAAGCGCTGGTATAAACCTCTGTCCCTTTCGGAACCCAATGCCCGTCAATCTCGCAACCAGGTGATACGCGGGGAAATCCCTGAGAGCCAGGAGGGTGAATCCGCAGTGCCTCATTGATGACGGCCTGGAGATACGGCAGCTGCATAGCCGATGTCGCATCGATCTCGTCGTAGGATTTATACCTGGTGCGTATCTCGCTTTTCAGCTTCTCCATTGTTGCGGGGGTCTTGAGGAGGTAGTAAACAGCCGCTGCCAGGCAGGTAGCTGTCGTCTCACCACCCGCGAGACTTTTGAAAGTTAGTTCACTGGTAAAATTGCTCTCAGGTGATGATGATGATGATGACTTACATCAGGGTAGATGCATGAGCCGTCATCTCCTCCTGTTCCACCTCACCAGCCCGGACTTTCTTCGTGATATGGGTGAAAAAGTCCTGGCGGGGCGTCTCAGCATCGAGACGCTTCTGCACCTTTTGTCGACTATAGCCGGCATGTTGCTCCCTCACGCCCTCGGTGAGCGAAGGCAACAGCCAAGTCCCAAGGAAATGTAGGAGCTTTATCCGTCTCAAGTTATCCACCAAGGTCACCTCAAACAAGTGCTTGAGAATCAGGTCCATCCAGGCATGGTGCTTTTCGTTCTGGACGCAGTCAAAGCCCTCCCCGAAAGCCATTTCGCCCAAGATGTCAAACGTGATCATCTCGAGCCACAGGACAACATTGATGCCCTTCCCATCGCTCTTTTGACTCATTGGGCCGAGCTTGTCAACAAAACGGTCCAGACAAGCCTGGACGATGGGTTCCTGGTCGGCTAGCGCCTTGGACGAAAACGCGGCTGTCAGTTTCTTCTTTTTGCGGCTGTGGACGGCTGGGTCCCGCTCAGATCCGATGCAGCCGGTCTTATAGGCGGCGCCAAATATGTCGTAGAACTCGCCTTTGATCAGTTGGTCTTGGCCCGCGGGTGGGTAGCCGTAGATGGCCTTCCATGACGCTGTCGATGCGAACGAGAGCTCGTTGGGGGAGATGCGGAAGACCGGGCCTGGGATATTATCAGCACAGAGCAGAACACTGGAAAGAAAAGGATTGGCCCCTCAAGAAACAAACCGTATTTCTCGTGCGAGGCTTGGATGACACGGTGCGACCGCCCTCTCATGGTGTGCCAAAATCGCCAAAGCTGCCGACGGTTAGACTTGGACTCGGGGAAAGAGAGACACGAAGCAACTGACAAGTGACGCGCGGGCCGAAAAGGGACCGGGAAACTTGGCCAATGGGTGCAAGAACACATTGTATATGATTTTCACGCAGGCAACTGTCACCACCAAAACAAGCAGCTCACGCCATCCTACCAGTCCAATTATGTGGCCGAGTCTCTCAAGGGCTGCATGTGGACCACTACCAAGTTGCCAGTTGTGACTCATCTCAAACCGCTGTGCTAGGTTGGCGGGAATTCAGATACAAAAAAAAAAAAGAAAAGAAGAAAAAAAGAAAAAGGACATCGCAAAAGAAGGCAGAGCCAAAGGAGAGTATCATACACTGGCACTTGCTACGCTAGCCAGCTGGTTGTCTTGAGGCGTATGCCAATTACGGTGGAGGGCAGTTACCGTAAAGGGAAGATCTGCCTTTGGTGGGTTACTTGGTCTGGTAATTCGCCGGGAATATTATGCACCATGACAGAAAAATGGATCAGTGCTGGCATTAGACTAGCCATTAGTTACAATGACATCCGACGAGTTGGATGGGTCCTAAATTTACATGTAGCCAAGGTAGGTAAACAACGGCCTCAGTGACACAACAACTCTGCAAACTGCGCAAACTCGTCATCCGCCTCCAGAAACTCCATCTCCTCCACTGTAAGCGAAACCAAGACTTCGGTGCCTCCCTCCCTCCTCAACGGCCCAACGCTACAATACCGACAAACCATATCAAACAGTCTCCTCTCCTGCCTCATATAATCCGGTATTCCACCATTGGCAAACAAGGCACTGCCAAAGCTCCAGTCCAAAATTGGCAGCGACAGTAGACTCGTCACGCCAAACTCGGCCCCTTCGAACGTAGGCATAGGACGCCGCAGGGTCTCCGCCCCGAAATCAGGCAGCCTCGTTGCAGCCAGACCATATCCGGCCAGAATGCGCTCTCTCGTGACACTTGCGACGGCGGACCGTACAGCTCGGATGATGGACACCAGCGGCGTTGCTGGCCCCACGAGTTCACCTACCGTCAACTTTGTAGTAGTGAAGAAGACCAGCGTGCCCAAGTATTGCCACGGAAGCAGATCACCGAGCATAGCCCTCCCGTTGATCGTCGTGTCCATCTCCGTGATAGCTCCGGGGCCATAGCATGGCTTTTTAGGGGCGGCAGCGCGACGAGCCCGGATCGTGCACCGCCATAGTAAAGCCATGAGCGCATCGTTTGCTGTTGCGCCTGGCTCGTTGGCCGCTATGGCAGACAATCGCGCGATGGCGGATGCAGAGACATAGAATATTCCCGTGCTCATGGCCGGTGGCGGTGCCGGAGCATCATCACCGTCACCCGACCCAGAGCCGGGCAGTCGCAATTCCCCTCCCCCTGGTTCTTGTGGTGGGAGTAGACCCAGCATGCGCCACTCATCCGGCGTTGCTTCAGCCACAGGCGAGCCAGCCTTCTTCCACAGGTCAATGAGCGTGTTATAATCAAAACACTCCTGGCCCAGCGGCGTGGTAGTCATCTCAGCCGACCCAGTCTCCTCACCCTGCTGCAGCCGCATATGTTGGGCCCACGTGCGAAAGATGAGCGCCATGCTCATTCCATCCATCAAGCCATGGTACAAAGACACCCCCAGCAACAGGCCCCCTCTGATGAAATTAGCTTGGGCTACGAGCAACGGGGTGCCGCCAGTTTCCAGATCAAACCCAAAACGGCTAGACGGGAGGAGCACAGCGCCGTCGAGGAGATCCTGCGGAAGACCATCTTCCATCAGCTCGTCGTAGTCGGGCCATTCGGGGTTGTTGGAGAGGTCGTTGTAGTCCACCACGGGCTTCCAGTCGACGTGCTCGCGTGCCTCAAGACGGCCAGTCACTAAATTCTCGGGGGTAGGGGGGATAGAGAAGGCTCGTCTTGTGAGGAAGGGGAGAGCGAGGCTGGCGCTCGCGAGACTGGAGCGCAGCATCGAGATGACTTGGTCTTGGGTTACGCCGTCTCTGAGCCGAAGCGCCCAGATGCCGCCGTGGAAGTAGCGCGGGAGGACATTGTCCATGGCGCTGAGCTCGTAGCTGGGGCTGGCAGTGGCCATTGTTGGGGCGATAGCGAGGCGGAAGCGAAGTGCGATGATGACCTTGTTTGTGTCTTGGTCCTGTGGTATACTCACCGAGTCTTTTGACTAGAGGACGAGACTGTGTCCAACAAAGTGCCGTTATATGCATCCAATCTCCAACAGTTTGAGGTTGGTATATCTGCATTGTCACATGGTCGTTATTGACTCCCCCGTGTGGCTCTTTCCACGTTGGGGAACTGCCGGACTTGTCATTTGATCCCAGCATTGGTTGGATCTCTCCAGGGGGCGGATCAACATTCACCCACTTTGTCAGGGTTAGGGTCATGGCACATGATGGCAGTTGTCATCCAATACAACCTGGAACTGCTCCATCGCGTACCAGACATGTATCAGCCCAGCGAAGCCCACGAACTCGGCATAATAACATGAAATTTCGCGATATTTTCAAGGTGTTTCACTGCACTTGTTCAATTGACTGCACTTTGCTCAATTGACTGCACTTTGCTCAATTGACTGCACTTTGCTCAATTGACCACGCTTCTCTTGGTCAATTCGGTGGTTAAACGAGTGCATTGCCTCCTCCCATGAAACGAGGTTATTCCATGTGGCCCTGGGAAGTTGCCATGACCCTAACCCTGGCCAAAGTGATGGGTGAACGAATCATTACGGGGTCCTCCAAAACTAACCCAAATCTAATTGTTATTATTTACATCGTGTCCGCCCGCCCCTTTTATCTTCCAGGGGAAACGAATATTAATTATCACATCCTTCAACCATACCTAGTTAGTCTCCTCCCTTCTAGTCCACCTAATCACCGCAGGCTGCACCGGTCGCGCAAACATGGACGTGTGGTCCGTCGCCGGCACCACACCAACCCTTCCATCCACATTGGACAGCTTGTAGTCGCGCAGAATAGTCGCGACAATAACCCCCAAGTTCAAATACGCAAATTTCTCCCCGATGCAACGATGTCGTCCTGCCCCAAAAGGAATATAGGGACTCCTAGTCGACGATTTAGCCACGGCGCCGTACCCGTAATCAATAGTCTCCTTGTCTTGCGCGTTCTCGTCCTCTCGCTGGTCCCAGCGATGCGGATTCCATGACTTGGCGTCCGGAAAATATTCGTCGCTCAAGGCCGTGACCATCGGCG